TAATGTTAAACCAAAGACAATTGATAACATTAAATATAATTATCATCATGCTGTAAATCTGTGGGGGGGGGGGTTTTCTCATGGTCATCACACAGAGTCTCAAATGGAGTGGCAGCCTAGAGGTTAGGGCATAGGGCTTTGTATCCTTAAATTGTGAGTTTGATCCCCCACTCCCACAGACTGCCACTCTGGGTCCCTGAACAAGATCCTTGACTCCACACTGCTCTGCACAATGGCAGCCCACTGCTCCCCAAGGGGATGGGTTTAATTCAGAGAATTCATTTCGTTGCTCTCTACTTGTGACACTGAATGACAATAAAATTGAATTATTATTTTTAAATGGCCTCATTTCATTTCTAAAACCACCTTTGAGTAATTCTCCTCTTTTAAATATCACCAATTAAGATGATCGCGCTCACACTTCACACAGTTTTGTCTTAAGGCTGAATTTTATACTTTAGTTAATATCATTTTTAGGAGATAAACGTGACTGTTGTAGATCACTCACAGAATTTCAACTAGAAATAAAACTATTGGCGCAGAGTTCGAATTAAGTGTTAATGAGATTCCCCAGTCTCGCCACATTGACTTATCATTAGTCAGAAAACAGGCCGGTCCCCCTCATGCTAACTCAGTGGAACAAATTCCTTGGGAATCATCCAAAAATCTCCAGAAACCAAAAAGAGAGAAGGAAGCCTTAAAATCATAAAAGGTTGACTTCACTCCTCTGAGTGATTTGCCTTATTGGAACAACATGTCGGCGCTGGACCTTCACAGGGATGCTGGATTGATGCAATATGGCAGAGCTCTTTGACAGAGTTTCTGTATGTGTTGCAGTGTGGAGTAGGAACGTTAGCGTTAGCCGTTTAGGGTCGGTGTGTCGGGTGAGTGGGCGATCCACTGGAACAAATAGGAATCACTAATAGCCAAGTTTGTAAAGCTCCCTGGAGCTGGTCCCTGCCTGGCACCTGAGGAGAGCGAAGAAGGCCTCCACAGATTTAGACTTGGAGGAGTCGGAGCCTAGCCCTGCGACAGACCAAAGTAGATGCCACTTTTGGTTTTTTTAGCTGCTGAAGCAGGTCCAAATCTAAATGAAGGTTTTAGTGCAGCGACCCAAAGCTGTATGAGGTGTGGTCTGACTTGGCGCGGCGGCCCCTGCACAGCATCACGCACGTCTACTCAGGCTTTAAAGCTGGCGACAGAGGGGACCACGCAGCTTCGTCTACCACCCAGAATAGATGATGATCTCACATTCACTGTCTGTGACCATTATAGGCTAAGAAAATGACAACCTGAGAGAAGCACGTGTCAGAAAACAGCTTAAAAACTAACAAATGAAAACACTTTCATAAAGCCGAGCGAAAGTAGGTGACCTTAGAAATACCAAAGGCCTTTTCCCTGAACTATTTACATGTCCTTCCCCGGAAAAGGCTGCTCTCTTCGTGTAACTGAGCTGTAAACATTAACTGTCTGCCGTCTGCGCATATCTCTGACACGACGCTCCAATCTGTTCGGTACAACGGCTGTAAATCTGCGGTTGAAATCTGAAAGGAAATGAGCAGCAACGATAGTTTCCACGCCACTCGCAGATGTTCATCCCCACTAACCCAAACACTGCCCTGTCAGAGAAATAAGTGATTTATCCCTGAGGATGTGATGTTTATGTTTTTAAAAGTCAATTTTGATTGTGATAAACTGTGTTGAATGTGAGAATTCCCTCTTCAAATAACCAAAAATGACTCTTTAAAATTTTCGGGAGGACTTTAACAGCAGCTAAAATGGGCAGCCTGCAAAGTAAATTAGTTTAAAAATAGGTTACATTTATTAAAATATATTTTTTTTAGCTGCAGAGTAAAATAAGGCTGAAAATGTTTGATAATTTCTTCTTTGTAAATGTTAATTTAATACTGTGTGAACTCAGAGGCGGCATTAAAGCATTTCCTCCTTGAAACTAATTAGACAATTTAAAAAAAGGAGAAGTTAACTTCAACAGAAACATGACATAATTTTGGGTGGAAACACTCAAATTTTTTTTTTTATCCCCTTATTTGCGTTTTAGAACTCTATAATAATAGTTCATTTTCACCTACCTGTAAAATATTATATAAGAACCGAGAAATGAAAAAGAACTGCTAGAATTGGATTAATCCTGGCCAATTATTTAAGAATATATAACTTAATCCTTATCTGATTTTTCCTTCAGACAAAACTAAAAAACATAAAAGTACATATGGTAGGTTTATCATTATTAAAACACTAGGAGTGGTTTATGAAGTACTAAATTAGAAGGGGAAAAAAGATTTTTGTATATTTTACCTGCTGATTTTTGTAAGAGAAAACGGTGCAATTTTGATCCTCTGCTGATTATGTGGTGCATCTCTAATATAAACAGTTAATAAAATCCAAAAAATCATAAATAACATCTTGCTTACTCCCAACTCTACCAGGAACAGGACTGAACAATCTAATGCAAACTTATATGTAGCTTAAATATGCTAAATTAAACTACTTTTTATACTTGGTAAGCCATGGTATTTGGAAAACCTCCCTGCTTTATACAGGTGAGTGTTTTTTACTACCTGCAGAGTCAAGGTTGCTTATTTATCAAGAGCAAGTGATCATAAATAGGTGCAAGGAAAGCAGAGAGAAGGTGGTTACATGTTTGCTTTCGGTGACAGCGACACTGAGCTGCATTCGCTGTAATCCTCCCTGCTGGTGTGACTGACAGCCACAGGTTTTAGCAACAGACCTACCTTCAAGATTCTGTTGACTGGAAGAAAAGTCATCACCCTAACTACCGGGGCCCATCACATTAAGCTCATCACCCTTGGAAAACCTGTTTAGCCTATTCTAGATGTGTTGACCTTTTTCACCTTCTGCAGACAAGAACTTTTTGAAGTCCTGCATTTATGTTTGAGGAGCACAGATGTCACTGCCACTTTCCATTAATCTAAAAGCATCTAAGATGTACATTTATATCTGTAAAATCAATAAGCTCATTAAAAAGACCCACTTGACCTTAGAGATGGGACATGGCACATTTATTGGGGCAATAAACATCTCAAGATAAATAAAAGATCAAATTCTAAAGAGAGTTTCAATGTTGTTGAAAATCATGGAAGTATTTGTAATTTAGTCCCAGAAAAAGTCACACACTTTTAGAAGTTTGACTCATGGATCCCAGGACATGGCAAAGATTGAGGAAAAACACCCACGCCAAAAGCCATCAGGGCTTCAAGACCAGCAACAAGATTGAAAACACGTGTGCATTAATACCTGCTCAAATATATAGCCTGGACTAACCTGCTAATAGCCTTAATTTGCAAGATAAACAGTAGAAGAGTTTGACACTCACTCACCATAAGGTGCCTTTCCTCTGCTGCACTGCCTCTGCTGCCTTCTGAATCCTGAGACGGGGGGGTTGACAGCAGCAAAGTTACTGCCTGCCTCTGCTATGCTATCTGTTAAAGTAATTTTCTCTCAAAGAGGAATTAATTTCCTTTCTCAGGCGGCCTACAGAGTCTGTGGCACAGCCTGCGACGTCCAGCTGGATCCCGAGAGTGCGGACATATTACGAGTGTTCCCTCTGTAAAATCAGGCCGAGCTGCAAAATATCTAAGGCAGAAAGATATTTTCCATTTGTTTTATCCACTCTTTAACGGATTTCTTAAATTAAGCAAACAATACTTCAGGAAAAAAATTATATTTTAACCTCCCAGGTTTAAAAGAAGGCAGATTACTGTATATTTCTTCCATATTATACATTCATTCAAATGCTTTTCTACATCAAACATGAAAATTTGACTTCATAGCAAAGACACACTTAATTATTCTAATTCTGTTCTTATTTATTCTAAACTTGCACATATTTTTCTTGTTTATGATACATGATATATCTATAGTCATTTACAGATACATATTTAATCAGTAAATCTGTTAATTTAAAAGACATAGAAATTTACTGTATTATGACAGCAGACCTGCCAATAAAGCTGTATAAAATGTTATTTGACAAAAAATGTTCTGAATAGAAAATAAATTGTTTTTCTTTTTCTTTTCTCTCCTCTTCTTCTGGCTACTTAAAAGTGAGTCTGATTTTATGACTACAGTGGATGAATTAGAGAAAAAGGGATGCATGAATGTCAGTAAATTAATAGAGCTAATTTATTCCACATTTGAACCAAGATGCGTTGTATTCAGTAAAACAATGAAGCAAAACAAAAATATTTAATGTCACTTAAACAGGAAATCGAGAACATTAAAAAGCAAACTATGGATGTCAGAGAAAGGAAAAATATAGGTTTTACTTTTCTTTTCCCTGACAGGAACAAATCCTGTTTCAATTACTTTTATTTTTAAAGCAGTCCTTTTTACCAAAACCAAAATTTCACACAAAATTAAAGGAAATTAAAGATGATGATTTATTAGCTGCAAAAGTTAAATAAATCCCACCGTCATAGGATAAAGAGATACTCCTTGGGCATACAGTAATATGGAATCTTAGGCTACACCGCAGGTCATCTGAGGTGATTTGAAACAGAGATCAATGATGGGGAGAAACGTATCTGTGGGTAGAATATCAGGGCTTCTAATAAACAGGATGGATAAGGTAGACAAGGCATCACGATCCAAGGATTTACACTCTGCTGTTAATTAAAGTGACAAAAGGACAGGGCAGATACCTACTCAACAATGGAGGAAATGTGAATAGAATGCATGAAAAAATGAAGGAAACCAGTAACGGCAGCAATCGTCTCAGTCAACCTCAACCACAGTTAAAGTTTTTGTTTGAGTCCAGTCTGACAAACACAGGGTAACATGCTGGGTTAACCTTTGACACCTCTCCCTTCCATCTCCCACTTCCCCTCATACAACTTCCCTTTCCTTCAGCCCCACCCATGGAGCAATAACACTGTTTTTTAAAGTGGGAGAAAAAAAGGAGATGGGCACAAGAGGTCAAATCCAAGTTCGGCATATATCAGCTGTCTTTCAAAAAGCTCAGCTTTTTTTTAATAGTGTGGATTTATTGTGCTGTGCTTTTTGGAGGATGATCATATATATATGTGGTCAGTAGTGCCTATGCTGTCTGTGACCCAGCCTCCGTCTCACGTTACACCCTATTTATAACATCCCCTTCCCAGGCTCCCCTCGTTCTGCAGCTCCTAGGAACCTCCTGTGCTTCCAGCTTCGAGCTCCACTCCTCTGTTCCTCCTGACATCTGAGAAGTTCTGCAGCAGCTTGTCCTGGGCTAACTGTTTATCCTGCGCAGCCTGCCAACCAGCCGCATGCTCCGGATTACCACAGGACGCCCATTTTCCAGCTCATTTTGCTATTTGATTTATTATTATTATTTTTTTCAGTTAATGGAAAAAATTAGGAAAAGTAACCTGGATATGTGCTTGTGATCTTTCCATTTGTTGTTTTTGGTTGATTTTCTGACTTTGCTACTTCTACTCACCCATCCCACCCTCACTAGAGGGCCTTGTGAGTTTGTACTCCATGGATCACACACTGTTTGGCTGCCTGCGGAGCCCCCATGCCCCGGCGCAGGCTTTGCATCCCGCCTTCACCCAGTCTCCCCTGACGCTCCATGGACGGACGGATCACATCTCCTACCCAGACTTGGCTTCTTCCTCATCCTCCTCCTCTACATCCTCACCTTCTCCATGCGTCATCTCCAGCTACCCGGGCGACGACGGTCTATTTTCTGGGCAGCACCACCACCACCGGAGCCACCTGCCCTCCCAGCAGCATCACCACCAGCCTCAGCACCACGGATCCTGGCACATCCCACAGATGCCGTCACCTGGTGGCGGCGCACGCCACGGCATTTGCCATCCACATCCCCTGTCGTCCCATGAGAACGGGCCCACGCCTCCAGACCTGGGCCACCCCGGTGCACCCAGCATATGTGCCAGCACACCAACTCTGGGTAGTGGCAGCACCCCAACAGGGGTTTCCTGTGTGCCCGCAGACTTCGGCAGACAGACCCTGTCACCCGCTGAAGCGGAGAAGAGGAACAGCAAGAGGAAAAGTGACAGCTCAGGTAAGAGGAATTCTGGGACTAAAAGGAGGAAAATGGAAAAATTGCAGAGGCTGAAGGGTTATTTTTTTTATTCTACATCTGCTTTGAAAAATAATCAATTTTGACATGTTTTAAAACAACAGACTAAAGCTTTAATTCTTCTGAGATCTTTTTGAAAGGTAAATGCTTTAAAATAAATAAGATCTTTTTTTCCAAAATTTCCAACCCCAGTTCCAGAAGACCACAAACATCTGTATGCGTCAGTCGGGATCATTCAACAGCTCAGCTGTTGGGAGTTCTGCTGCTCTGATAGAAAAACAAAAAGAGTGTCTGAGAAGCAGTTTGTAGGTGTTGGCTGATACAGGCTGCAGGGGCGCCGAGCAATGGAGCAAAAGGCCATATCATAGCCTCCAAGGCACTTCTTACTCCCGCTGTGTTTTGCTTAAAAAAAAGAATCACATCTGGTTTGTTGCGGCACTCTTCAGAGGGCACAAAATGAGGTGCACAGTAAAGAATTGATGTCATGGACTGTAAAAGGGCTGCAGCGGCGCCTCGTGCCGCACTTAACGCCCGGCAGATGCAGACCTTTCATGCTTTTCCTGCTTAAATCTTGTGGTAAATATAAATTATAGCTGAGTGTGTTTTGAAATTACCATAATCTAATAAAATAAAAATATATTTTCTTGATTTATTTCAATTACTTAACTTTAGACTAATCCCGCCTATTTGAAATGTATTCTCAATTACTACTGAATATCACAGAAGCTTAACTATAAAATATTAAATTAGTTTTTGTGATATATTTCTAGGTATAAACTTGGAGATTTTAGGCTTTAGGTTTTATTTTATTTTCAAACTTTTACTTCCCAATTTGTTTTTGAAAGATTTTTACAAAAGAAATTCAATATAATAAAAAAAAGATATTATTTTGATGGCCTACAAAACATTTATGACCTTTAGTAACCAGGATAATCAATCATGGTGTGATAAACGGTCAGGGTCACAGGGACTCATGCTGGAGACATGATATTAGTCAGAGTTTTAAGGAAACGGGTCCTGTCTGTTCATTCTGTCCTTTTAAAGAATGTGAGACTCTAAAGAGATCCATAAACATTTTTGAACAATTTTTTTCCCAACAAATTCCACAAATTTTACATCATGTGGTTAATTAGTTTTGCTCAAATAGCAAAATTTTGAATTGATTTTAAAATCAAACAAACGTTTGCGGTGATATACTGTTTTTATGTTTTTATAAACTGTACGTTTGAAACAATCAAATAAACTTGCTCACTACTATTAAGACAAGGCTGAGCAATGGTGAAGCCAAGCAGCGCACAATTGCTGCATTTATTAATATTCTAAAAAAACTTTTATAATTTCTACTTTACTCTTAAAACCAAATGTTAATTAAAGCTTATCTGTGAAAATTACCATTGACTGTTTGTAATCCTATTTTATTTTTGCAATATCTGTGCACAATATTTGTGCTTTTCACTTTTACTGACAGTCTATTGTATTTTGTTTGTTTGTTTGTTTTTTGGCAGGGGGGGGTTTATATTTCAAATATGGTTGCATTTCCTTAGTCACTTTATTTGAAACAATTAATAATTACAGTAATAAGCTACCTCAGTAGTATAGCTGTATAATAATAAAAATGGCACAATTATGTAACCAAGCAAAGGCTAATTTATAGTTTTGTTTGTCCTTTTCTTTTGCTGAATAATCAGCTCTCCTCGTGGAAAATGTTGCAGTCGCATATTTGATCCAGTGATTCAACAAACTACCTCAAATTTTCCTTCACTGCCTCTAAAAACCAAGCTTCTGCATCCCAATCCCGCTTCCCCCCGCAGCTTTGCAAGAGCCGGGCGTCTCGCAGCAGTGCGACCAATCGTTCTGATTACTGAGGCTAACTATGCTGCAGACTCCGTCAGCTGTCTAAATATCAGCTGGCTACCTTTTGCATGAGTTGCAGCTCTGATTGGGTTTCAGCATCTGGCCGGGGGGCTTAAGGGTCAACTTGAGTAAAGATGCAGAAATTAAAAGCAAACCCTAGAATTAATTTCCTTGTTATCGTCCTCTCAAATATGAATCAGTTTATGGCCTCTTTTCAGTCTAAGCTGTCTTTTCATGGTCATGCTGAATGGTTTGGGGTTCAGGGGTTTATACCAAACTCATTGAGCTGTCATGGGAGTGGCTGTGCTTAAAGAAACACTAGATTTTTAGAGGAACAATAAAAAAGGTTTATTTGTTTGGGTATTGTTAAAAAAGCAGTAACGTCAAGCTGATATCACTTTGAATAAAATGAACCTTATTTGGGAACAAAATACATTAAAAACAAATTTTACAACTGGAGGTTCTACTTTTGGGCATCTATTCTTCCACAGTTTTTCAGGAGGATCCCTGTTGAACTAAACCAAATTTATTTGGCAGCCTCAAACTGCATGCCCTGTCTGGGTGTGTGTGCTTTGCTCATATTATTCCTCCTTTTTTGTGGACAGATGAAAGTTACAGCGGGGACCTAATTGGTGTGGTGCAGCAGCGGTGCCATAAAAGTTCAGCCGCTCGTTTTAACTGCAGGCCCGCCTGCTGTAAAGCGGCTGTCTGTCTTCTGCTTTCATTTTTATTTTATTTTTTTACATAACGTCTGCGTAAAGGAAAGGCAGCAGGTCAGTTTGTCTTTAGGATCGGCCACTTGCTGCTCGGTTTAAAATTACAGGGAGGGTAAGGCCGGGTCAAAGGGGAGCCAGGCACGAGCTGTGGGGAGAGGCAATAACATGTTTAATTTTACAAAATTTATGTGGGAATTCTTGGAGTTTACGTCTCTGTTTGTTTGTCTTGGACTCTAAATAAGCACTTGTGCCATTTCAGCATCTTCTCATCCTGCTCTTTTGATGGTTATTAAAAAACTTACTTCTAATTGGAAGTAAGACTGTCTTTATGACAAGAGAGCAGCACCAGTAAGCAAGGCTTCGTCTGAGGAGAAACCTTAGATGAGTCCACAGGACTATTTACAGTTTTGCTTGACGTAGACCTGCTGCACTAAAGCGTGCTACAGAATCGACCCACTGATGAATCTCCATGGCAATTCTTACTTCCTTTCAGTTTAGTATGCATATTTAAAGTTAGTCAAGAAAAAAACACAGAAAAAGCTCAGAACTGCTATGATTTAAAATGCCAACTGTTTGGCCCTTAACGGATAAATGCATAAAATAAGAAAAGACAGTTTTGCCAGTGATGGCAAACCTGATAATGATTGCAGATACTACAGTTTTTGCTTTGTTATTGTCTCATTGAAGTGGTTAATATACCTTCTTGCCTCAAATTCTTCCTCCAGAGTTTTTAAAGCCTAATCTTGGGGAACTATTTTTCCCCCCTGATTTTGAAGTCTTCCAAGATAAAGCAAAAATGAAAGCAAACAAAGATTGTGAAAATACAGTCTTATTTTCTGTTTAGCTTCTCTGATAGTTTTCAGTCCTTCAACCCACCTCAACTCTCCATAAACAACAATTGGACGATTAAGTTTGACAGACAGCTCTCGATTCCTTCTAAGTCGCCTTATTTCTTGCACCTGCCTTATTTCTTATTTTCCTCGCATGGAAATCTGCCCTGAGCACAAGAGAAACCCTGTGTGGTGTTTGATTTCAGAGTCCCAGGATGGGAATTACAAGCCAGACGTGAGCAGCAAGCCCAGAAAGGAGAGGACGGCGTTCACCAAGGAGCAAATCCGAGAGCTGGAGGCCGAGTTCGCCCACCACAACTACCTGACCCGACTAAGGCGCTACGAGATCGCCGTGAACCTTGACCTCACTGAAAGACAAGTATGTCCCTCCAATCTGCCTGTTTCCTCTGGGGTTCAGACATTACTGAACCTCCATTAGCACATTAATGCCATGTTGTGAAAACAGAGGCGCCCTCAGGACAAGAAGAAGGCTTTTCACTCGCTACTGTGTTTTGCTAACTTCATGGCGGGGGCTCATTGCGCTCCAGATGTGGCTGCGTCATTGGGCGATCGTATTCCAGATGTTCCTGTCTATCGTTTCAGGAGGCTGCAGACGGGGTTGGAGGAAGTGCTGTCTAGCAAGTGGCTTCCACTTTCCTACTACCTCTGCAGCTAAACTTCGGTCTCTGAGCGTAGGCCGATCTCCGTAAAACGCAGTGATATGAAATAAATAACAGGAGACAAATTGAGGAAGGAAGTGGCCCAAAGCTTGTTGCTCTACTGCAACCTTTTGGAAGCTGTAACTCACACCCATTTGACACGTTGCCAGTGATTCAGGTTGTTAGATGGACAATAGATCCGATGAGAATTTCAGATGGAGTTTTTAACTAATGCATTAGACAAATCTAGTTCAAACCTCTCCTATAAAAACACTTTTAACCAGATCTTAGTTTTATCGAGCAGAAGTTATTTAGGTTTACATGGTGATAGACATATGCATTAATGAACTGGTTATTTAATTCCTAGAATGTAAAATTCTTTTAAAATTGTATTTTTTAAGACTGTATTCCTAAAGTGGATGATTTAATCACTTAAATTGAATAGTTTCTTCTATTTATGTTTATGCTTATTTACAATTTTGACACAACACACATATTATTATTCATTTTTTTATATTAAGTTGAAAGTACACAATATTTTAAAACCTGCTTAAATTATCCAATGTAAAAAGCTGCACTTGTCGGCTTTCCAACTAATTCCTGGCTTCCTGTATAGGCTTTGTGACACCTGCTAGATTTTAATGATAAAAGTCATTAAATATGTCACAGCTAACAGCAGACAATCATGAAAAGTCACTGTGTTCCTAAAAATATGTCAAAAAGTGTAATAAAAAAACATTTATTTTGTAGATATCAAAACTAGTTCTCCACTGACTTGTTTTGTAGAAGCGCTGGTGAAGATTCTCATTCATTCAGGTCATAGTCATTCCAAAAAAAAGTCTTGGATGGGAAGCGAAATGTTTTCAAACTTGGAAACAAAGTCCAGTGGATTGTTTTTTTATTTATACATTTTTTTTTGGAATGAATATTTTGTACAAGGTTAGGGTGAAATTATACAAGAAAAAGTTTTGTCTCCATGTCAAAATACTATCTTATTTTATGATTACTTTAGTGTCTTGAATAGTTATAAACATTGATATACAGTTAAAGATAGTTTACATTTAGTTTGGTTTTATTGTACTGTCAATGATTTAGTCCTTACTATTAAGAAAAGAAACACTGTATGTTTTGTCAAATGAAATAAAAAACATTCTTGGTATGTTCCTTAAGATAAAGAATGTTTAAAAAGTTTAGGTCTATTAAATTAAAATTATCATCAGCAACTATGAACGATTTGACTGTTTACTGTAAAACATTATTGAATTTACCAAAAAAGTAGCGTTACTCAAGACACACGGCGCGGTCTGTATTCAAACTACTCAATGGGACTTTTATGATCGGTTTTAAATAAATTATTGATGTCCCAACAAAAATAAGCTTAATACAACTTAACAATTCCTACATAACAACATAACAACAAACAACTGTTATTGAATATATAGCTCTTCTACTGTCTGTTAGCATCACCGTTTATGGGTGAAAGGCATTATGTAGATAAAAAGTCCAAGCTGTCTGTCCAAACTGTCTCAAAGAAGCTTTGCTTCAAATTTTCTTTAAAAGTTTATTTTTACTGTTTCTTTATTGAAATCCGTAAATATGAATACTAAAGTGAAAAAACATAACTGAGAAGATTTATGATTTTCAGATCGTGACTCAGAAATATTTGTCTTTTCAGGCAAGTTTTAAAAGATTGTTGAAGTAATTCAAAGCTCTCACATTCTGAGGACATCTGCAGAGTGTGGCTTTGAATAGTCAAATACATCAAAAAATTAACGTAATTCCCCCCTTTTGGTTTGAATTACAAAGTTGCAGAAGCTTAGGAAAAAAAAACTCCTTTCCAGTCTTCATGCTAACTGAGTGCAGAGAGTTTGCCATCCTGCAGCGCACTCCCACATTGTTGCAATTAATCTTTCTTTGGCGTCAAAGTCTGCATACATTTTTGTATTTTGTCAGCTATTGCAACATACGTTGACTGTGTGTGAGTTTCGTCTGGAACCACACGTAGTAGGAGATTCTGAGGTAAACACTGGCAATAAAATCGGTTGGCCCCGCAGCTTGATTTATGCTGCATGTGCTGTTTGGAGAAACCTGATGGATGTTTAATGTGTTTGGGGTGATGTGAAAACCGGATTATCTTTGAAGACGGCAGTTAGGAGGCGTCAGAATGGAACATCTCGCATGATTAAAATTTTTATATTTTAAATCTTTACTGAAGTTAAAATAAAAATCCCTTAAACTTGAATTTTGAATAGATAATTTTATAACTGCAGTACATTTAAAATGTATGACAACTCTTAAACCGCACTAAGAGAACTTATTCAACTTTTGTCATACAGCTCATGAACTGTTTTTACCATCAGAGCTTTCTTAACTGTTAAATCAAGTTTTACTGAAATGTAGTCAGTTTACACACCTCAGCATTTCTGATACAAAGATTCTGTATTCGGAGTGGGGGATAAATAGTCTAGAAATTGGAAAACATTTACGCCCACTTCAGGGATGGTGCATTGGGTCATTTGGGAGGGGTTTTATTGTATATTGGGAGTTGGTATCTATCATGATATGAACCCCCTCCCCCCACCCAAAAAACTAAATCAGACGTTTTCTTACCCACTTTTTGCCGTTTTATGATCGAAAAACTGATTAAAATCAAAAGAGAACACTTTTTTCAGCTTTTGCAAATCAAATGTAATAAAGTACATTTAAATAATGCATTATTCCTGACTGACTGCAAATCATGCTGCTGTAGTCTGACCATTAGATGTTACTAAAACTACGTACTGTAGCTTTAAAACTGACAAGTTCAAGTTCTTTTCATGTCAATATGACTCAATACAAATTATTCAACTGTTTTATATCTAAAATAAAAACCTAATAACGTATTTAAAATGAGTTTAATCATATTATGAGCAAACTGTAAGAGGGCGAAGAAGCAAAAAAAGAAAAAAAAAACTCTTCTTGGCTCCCTTTTTTAAGAAGGATGGGAGACTGTTTTCGAGATTCAGATTTAGTTTTAAGTTTAAAGTTCTTCTAGTAATAGTGTTTATTAATTCCTAAAAAAAGATTTGAAAGATTTTTTATTTAGTCTCAAAATTTTTGTATTGATGGTGTTAATCAAATCCCAAATGGGTGTGTTGAAATTCTAAGCTTAATGATTATCCCCCACCCCTAATAATTTATGTAAAATTACACAGCACAGCCTGCCCCTGTGTGAAACCAGAGCCAAAAACATGTTGCTGCAGCCTCTCATCTTCTTCTTTCACAAAGCAGCCAAGGCCTGTAAAGAATCCGTACGGATACTCAGCACCCTGCACGTTCAAGACAAACGTTTGTGTTGTCAACTAACTTCCTGACCTAGTTATGGCCCCATCCCCTTTGGAATGAGGCTCCCCAAAATAAACCCACCTCCCCCTGTGTCAGAGCGGCACATTTGGCTTCACACCACACACCCCCACCCCCTTCAGGGTCCATGTGTCGACCCTCTGGAAGCCTCTGCTGCTTGATGCGTAAACCGTTTTAAGCAACAGCTTAATCATCACTTTGAGAGACTCAAATACGGTAGAGGCTGTCGAGTAAGGGGAAAACAGGTAGACGCAGAGTGACAGGTGGAGCTGTACGTCCACATAAGTAATCAACCTGAGAATAAAAATCTATTATTCAACTTTATTGTCTTACATCTTTAAAAACTTGAAGGTTGCAAAAAGACGCAAACCTTTAATAGTTATGATTTGATAAACTGGGACAAAAAAAAGGGGGAAGATTGGTGCAAATAATAGACATTTGGAGCTTGCTTTGAGTTTAGGAAAGGAAGCAGAAGCCAATCTGACCAACGTTAATAAAAGTGTTTGTTAAAAGCTGTCTTCAAAAGATGGCATAATGACTGCTCTTCATCAACTATTAGATTAATAGGTTATTTTCAAACCTTTTCCTACCCATCATTCTGTAGATAGAAAGATTCATCCGAATTGGAACATATTTAAAACAAATGCCCATACTGCCAGGATTGGATGTTCCAGCCATTTAATCCCAAGCTCAGGCTGTGCTTTACTCAGAGAAAGGACAAAAACCCCAACAGCTCCGTCTCAGACTGTAGAGCCTCTCTGTAATTACTGAAAATAAAATGGCCCAATGTCTTGATTCCTGCTGGGCGAGCCGTTTCTGAATGTTATATGAGTTTGGAGGCTTTGAAAATGAGAATATATTTTATAAGGTGGCAGCAGGGAGGCTCCAAAATGAAACATGTTGAAAGCTCATCAACCTGGGAAGGCTTATATGGTCATAAGGTAATCTCTAATGAACTTAAAATCTATCATTCTGGAGTGGTAGAGATGTTTTGCAATAGGAAAAAAATGCGAATTTGGAGCTTTTGTTGGGATTTCTTGTCATACTCTATAGGGTAGCAAATTTTTTGTAACATTTATCGCATAACAAATGTTAAAGTTCTTGGCGGGACAATAACAAGACGCTAAATGTGTTTGAGTTTTTTTGTAGGAAACAGCGTGTTTTTTCTAAAATCTGAATAGTATAATTTATGCTGTAAGAGATGCCCATAAATTCACAGTATAAAGTACTGTATTAATTTTAATGAATTTTCTGTCATTTGTTTTTCTGGATCTTTCAACCGTATTTATCATAGCCGTTTAGATAAGAGAATTCTGACAACTCAACAATGGGCAACATTTTATAGTAATTTGGATTAGAGAAAGATTAAGAGAAAAAAAAAAAACAGATAAGGTTTTTTGTTTTTTTCTACAGAATTTGTTTTACCAGAAAAAAATCTGTAAGAAAAATTAGAAAAGATCCTGGAAGATAATTACAAGGCCCATAACTGTTTTTGTTTTTTTTACGTACCATTTTTAGAATAGAATAGAAATAGAATAGAAAATCCCTTTATTGTCCCACAGTGGGTAAATTCTGGTGTTTACAGCAGTAAAGAGATTATAGAAAAAAACTGTCACAGAAATGTGGACCTTAGAAAAATTTAGGTTATAAACAATGAAAGTAACATCTAAATTCATAACTTAACCTCTAAAGTTTGCCCATAAGTTTCTCCATAAGGGGCAGCATCATCATTAGCCCAGACAAACACTTTAAAACTACGCTCAGGTTAAAAGTAGAACTAGTTTAAAGCTAGCTGTAGTACTACATGGTGTTGCCAGTGATGTCAAGTATCGAAGTACAAGTACTTTGTTACTGTACTTAAGTAGACTTTTTAGATATCTATACTTTACTCCATTACTTATTTTTCTTTCTACTTCTGACTTCTACTCATTACATTTTCACACAAGTATCTGTACTTTCTATTCCCTACAATTTCAAAACAAATGTTACTCGTTACTCTTGGCTTTGGTTAAATGTTAATAAATATTTATTTCACGTCATGTGCGCCATCCAATGCAGATCATTGGCTCCATCCACATCTAGTGAAAACTAGTGTGATTGGATGAGTCATATAACGCAAAAACTCATTGGTTAGCTTAAAGAAATCATCAGAAGCAAGCAGGTGTTCTTCAAACTGCAAACGTGAATTGTCTATGCCATGCTACAATGTCGGATTCAGAAAAAGATGCTGAAAGGTCGGACACAGGCGAGATCGTATCGGGAGACGGAGACCAACAAGACCTCCCTCATCCTTGGCCCTATCTCAAAGAATTTTTCAAAATAATAGAAAAATTTAGCTTGCAATTCATATAGTGGCCTCTGGCTGTTTTTCTTATAGGTTACTCTTTATGTTTATATTTTAAGTAGTTTTTGGAGCACATACTTTTTCACTTTTACTTGAGTAAAGAGGTCAAGTTGATACTTTAATTTTAACAGAGTGTTTTTTAACTGCAGTACCTATACTTCTACCTAAGAAACAGATCTCTTTACCTTTGACACATCTGGGTGTTGCAGTTGCATTTAAATCTTCTGTATAGCGTGATATTAAATTTTCAAATGCGGAGCCATCTGCCAAATAAGTTTGGTTAAAACTAGTTGATCAACTGGTTAATTTCTCAAACACTTTCTTTTGTATTGATTTCTCCAACAATAAAATCAACTGCTGAAATAAAAGGAAGTTTGTTCGATGGCCAAAGCAAAGGTTATTATTTATTCTTTATTCCAGCTTTTATTGTCATTAAACTGTCACAAGTAGGGAGCAATGAAATGAACTCTCTACATCTAACCCATCCCCTTGGGGAGCAGTGGGCTGCCATTGTGCGGCAACTAGGGAGCAGTGTTGATGTTAAGGATCTTTGCTCAGGGACCCAGAGTGGCAGTCTGTGGGAGTGGGGCTTGAACGCCAACCTCAGGATTCCAAGCTCTATGCCCTAACCACTAGGCCGCCACTCCCCTGAAATTACTATTTTTTATTGTTATTTTTTCTTTTATATTTTTATATTCAGACTTTATATTGGTCACTAATGGTATTGGTGGTTATAGAGGACTTGCATCTAGACAAACTGGTGGCAGTAGTGAAGTAAAAACAAAGATGTTTGATAATAAAAAAGCAACAAAAATGTCCAATATAAAATAAATCCCCAAAATGTGAACCGGAGATCATGAAGCTGTATAACTCCACAAAGAAAAGTAGCAGTGGAGGGGAGAATTAAATACAGTAAGATTAGCTAAATCTACTAACCTAAAGAACCAAATGAGAATATATACTGGGGAGAAATGATGAGTGGAACAATAAAGGGAGGAGACTAATGAGCAGAATGGAAGCAGCTGAGAGCGCAATCAGAAAACAGACGAAATCAGACAGGAACTAAACCCAAACCCGAAGCTAATAAGCTGCAGACAAAGAACACAACTACATATAAGAAAGACCTTCAACCAACCACTGACTGGGAAACCACTGGGAAACAGCAACTTCTAAATCAAACGGAAAGTTAATAGAAACCAAAAAATTCTCTAACAAAACACATCAAGTACCCCAAACATGATGGATGAAGTCCATTACATGACATCCTGATTGAAATAATCTAGTATGATCTTAAAGGAGCCATGATAAGAGAAGAGTCTGCTTAACCCTTTTTTTAGACTGATGAAAGACTAATACAGTCTTATTGCTTTTCAATTTTGGCTCTATTTTGAAAGGAGGGAGTCTTTTGAGTTTTTGCACATTTGATGTTAGATTTCAGCATCTTTAAAACCTGTTTTTCTAAAGCTGTTATTGGAACTGAAGAAGATAGGTGAATATTATGAGACAGGTTTGAATATTTCTCCCTGTTATACTCCACAGGTGAAAGTGTGGTTCCAGAACAGAAGGATGAAATGGAAAAGAGTGAAAGGCGGCCAGCAGGGTGCAGCGGCTCGTGAGAAGGAACTGGTGAATGTGAAAAAAGGAACACTTCTGCCGTCAGAGTTCTCTGGCATTGCGGCGCTCCATCACTCCACGGACTCCTTGGCCAATGAGGACAGTCATGACAGTGATCAGAGCTCTGAGCATGCTCATTTATGATGCACAGGCACACACACATCCGTCCCCTCGTCCGCCTCGGGACCTTCCTTAGAAGGAACTGCTGTTGGATGATTCCCCATGGCCATTCAATCAAACAACGAGGAGGGATATTGGTTTAAAAAATAGCTGCAGAAATGATGTAATTATTTTGCTCCTAACAGATTTCTTGTTTGTTTTTTTTCCGTTTTTGCAACGCACCTAAATGTTTCAAAAGAATCTTATTATTGAACAAGATAACCTGATTAAATACAAAAATAACTTTTCAAATTTATTTCATTTTATTATTAAACAAAAACACTATCCAAGCCAACCCGATCCTACCTAAAAATGTAATTTCCCCAGAAGTCAGTGGTTGTTCTGCCTTTGCCGTCAGCAACCCTACCAAGCAAAAAATAGGTTGAAAATATATTGAAAAATAACATGATTTTCATCTGCATTTGGTTATTAAATAAAAGGTAAAAAATTGTGTAATTTTTCTGATAGTAACGTCTACTATTGGACCAAAGTGGAACAAAATCAGACCGACCAAACAGCCCGATTATCAACAACTATTTCTGGACTAACCTCTGAATGATGTCTGGTGTTTGGGGTGGACACCCATCAAGCAGGCAGTGGGTCTTCTCCATCGCTGTGATGGAATGTTGAATTTACTTTCACGATGGGCAACTGTGGAGTTTGCAGGAGGGTTGATGGTTCAAGCTTTTCTTGTCTTTGGGCAAGACACTTCACCTGCTTTGCTTACTAATGGTGGTCAGAGGGCCTGGTGTTAACAGCCGGGCTTCTATCAGTGACCCCCAGGGCAGCTATAATCTAAGATGTAGCATGCCAAAATTGTGCAAATGAATGGATGAATGACTGAATGTAGCGTAAAGAGCTTTGGTCAAGATTCCTGACTCGAGGTGGATGGATCCAGGCAGGTAGATTAAACTATTTTGCAAGTACAAACCATTTTTATGCCAGAATTGTTTTGTCTGAAACAAAAAAAATAGCAGGATCCCTTCCATGTTTGAAAAGGTGTTTCTCATCTGTTTTTGTAAAGTAGTTCATGGTGCTTTTATAGATTTCTTGGCCCGCTTATGATTGTCTTACAGATTTATTTAAGTCATTTCGTAAATCTAAAGTCAAGGCAGTAATCCGGCCTGGGTTTTGTAAGTGAAACTTGATTCAACTGGTCAGCTGTTTTAACCAGTTAATCAGTGTATTTTATTTTCTACTTGTGATCAGGTTGGCTTGGATACCTTTTTGTCTTTAATATATATATTCATAAATCCATGCATTTTGTAATTACTCAAGTTGTCTTTGTCTAATGATGGCTTGAAACATTCAGGTATGAAATATAAGCAAAAGCAAATCTTTGAGGAGGTGAAAAGCTTTTTCCCTGTATTGCAACTGGACTATGGAAATTGGCTAAAAGGAAATCATACTTAAACATTCCATGTTTTGTCTATTTGCAGGAGCAGCCTGAAGCTTTGATTTGCACTGTTGAACCAAAGTCTGTGCCTCAATCGGTTTCTACTGTTTAAAATGTAAATTACGCTGTAATTAAGTGTTTGACTCAACCAGGTGCCGGGAAATCTGATACGCCTGGCAAATATAAGCAAACTGTAAATAATTCTTAGTTTTGTCTTACTGTAACAATAAGCCTATACCCAGACTGTTCAGCTCTTCCAGCATTATACACTGACAGCTTGTTAGCTGACATTTTTCTGCCTGGAGATACCTTTTTTGCAAATGATTTGAAACGTGACACATGAGACAGTTGCAAAGAATAAAACATTAAGAGTGGTTTATAATGTGTCTTACATAGAACTTTTGCACTACGCCCTTCTGCTAAAACAATTTTTGCAGCATTTTTTTTCATGTGAATTAATCTAGTGTTGAATATATATTCCAACACACAAGGCTAAAATTAATGAAACATTGCAAAGTGCAGAAAGCTGGCAACGTGGGCGCATGTTAAAATCTCCTTCGCCCGAGGGCTGGGCCGGGACTTCTGCCAAGACTTGACAGAACCCACAAAGGATGGGATCCTGTTACCAAATCCAGTTGAAAATAATTTAGAGTCTTGATCTCATCTTTCACCGCATTGTGATTGTGCATGCTAATTTGTCTTAGAGGCACCTCACGCAGTATTTGAGGTTTATAATTTTTTTTTCTTTTAGCCCCTGCAGACATAACCCTCTGATCCTGAATCTGATCCCGCTTTTTTTTTTTTTTTTTTTACATTACCACTGCAGATTATTCACAAGCGATGAAGGCTCCCCTCTTTTTCCACTTTGATTTAAATTTGAACAAACATTGTTTGTAACCACACAGAAATGAGCCCTTGTTAGCTCTGTTATAACCCCAAACTCCTGACTGTCAGCTGCTGTCCGTACATCGAAAATGTAAAGAATGCATATCCTGAAGGTAATTAGTGTGCAGATTTAAATTATTTAAAAGGCCAAAGTGTGCTGATTGGACTGGCTTTCTATGAATTTTCACAGTAAAATCAATTAGGGTTTAGTTTGGGTTTTTTGGCTCATTTTATGGTTGTCATCCAGAATGACATTGCACAATACAGGCAAACATAGAAAAAGTTGAAAATATTAAGTTGAAAAAAAAAAAAGCTTATAGTAACAGCAGGATGATTGCAGATAAAAAATAATAATTCACTGCATTTAAATCCATGCTTATCTTAAAGTCCATGTATTTATGACGATGTGATGTATTCTGTGTGGAGTCCCCTTAATAGCCCTCTAAACTTCACAGTGTTGTTGATCATCAGCAGATTTGCAGTGGCTTGCCAAAATATTTAATATTGTATGTGATAAACCAACCATAATGTGTGGATTAAAGTGAACTGGAAGGACAGTGATACCAAGTTCCATATAAGTAGCGTCATATTGATGAGTTATGCAACCATCACTCTTTTTTTCATATTAATTCGTTTCATGAGATAATCTTTCCACGTTCAGCTTTAATCCCATTAATGTTTGTTGGTCAAGTTTAAAACCAGTCATATAACTCTAACTGACTGACTAATCCAGAACATATCAATACACATACTGCTTGTACATTTTCCATATAAAATATGACCACTAATTAATTCATAACCTCTGAAATCTTTCATTCTGAATGTAAGATACAATAGTTACACATAATACAATAAGTTAAATAAGTACAGGATTGTGGATCGTGATAATAGAATGTTACACAGTTTTTACTTTTTTACAATCAAAAAGTAATTGCTCATTGCCTGCAAAAAAATAAAATAAAATTTATATTTTTCCTAATCTATCTATGCAGACAGCTGTCCTGTGAGGTGTTTTAGTGTCAAAGGGTGAAAGGTGGGGTACACCCTGGACGATCTGTCAGTCCTTCGCAGAAGCAATAGTAGAAAGGAAAAGCTCCTTTTTAACAGAAGAAAACTCCGACAGAACCAGAAACAGAGTGAGCAACCTTAAACCAGAGATTGACAAGGGGTCCAAGGAGAAAGAAGCAGACATTCAAAACTAACATAGAACCACTGATCTATATTTTCTATGTCAGAAAATGTAACATTAAACTAGCTCCACTGGTGGCTCTGTCTGGGAAAGAAACTGTTATGCAGATGAGCTCTGAGCCAGTTTCCATGTCGAAGGGGTGAAAGAGAGCCCATAGCTATGTCTAGGAGAGAAACAGAACTAAGAACTGAAAGACAGACCCAACTCAATCATCTATAATCTAAGGTGTAATGGCAGCAGCCCAGCTGATGTTTCTCTCCAGGATAATGTCACAGCTAAACAGAAACAGACAAATTAATCTACTATGACGAGAAAGGTGGAACATAAATTTAGGGGTTGAACTAATAAATACAGAAGGAACAATAGAGATTTAATAAAGCAGAATGATGGAAGGGGTCCCTATGTCCTCAAGCAGTCTAAGCCTTTAGCAGCATAACTATAGGGATAGCTGAGGATCACCTGAGTCGCTCTAACTATAAGCTTGAACAAAAAGGAAAAGTTTAAGCCTAGCCTTAAATTTAGACAGGATGGATGTCTGGCGGATTAATACTGGTAGTTGGTTCCACAGGAGAGGAGTCTGATGACTAAAAGATCTGCCTCCCATTCAATTTGAGAAATTCTAGGAACTACTAGATTGAGAGCAAAGGGCTCCATTAGGAACACGAGGAATGATCAGATCCCCGATATAAGATGGAGCTTGGTTATTTAGTACTTTATATGTGAGAAGGAGCATTTTAAATGATATAGGATTTAAAAGGAAGCCAATAAAGAGCAGATAAGATAGGACAACTTTGATCTCTCTTTTAAATTATAATCAGATCTTTGGATGCAGCATTTTGGACCAGCTAAAGACTTTTAACTACAGTTTGTGGACTGATACAAAAGAATTGCAATACGCTTGCTTTGAAGTGACAAATGCATGGAGTCCATGGACTAGTTTCTCAGCATTGCCCTTGGAGAGAATATTTCTCATTTTTGCAAAATCCTAGAGATTTAAGAATCAAATTCTACAAACCTTTTTGATATGGCATTTAAATGAAAGTTGTTGATCAAACATAAATAACTCCAAGGCTTTTGACTTTATTATCTGAGACCAACTTAATCCCATCAAGATGAAGTGACTGATTAGCTTCTTTTTTATACACTCTGGTCCAAAGACAATAACTTCCATTTTTTTCTGCATTCAAAAGCAGAAAGTTAAGAGTTATCCCAGTTTTTATATCTTCAAGATATGCCTGCAGTCTATGTAATGGGTTAGTTTAATCAGGACTAATGGACAAATATAGCTGAGGGTTTCATCAGCAAAGCAGTGGAAACTAGAACAGCCAACATGAAACAGATTGTTCCTTGGCATGAGGGACACCTAATAAAAATTGCAATTTCCAAAATATCATGTCACAGGCACACACACACACACACAAACACAGACTCTCATAAAAAGAAGAGGTAATTAATCCCATACTGTCTGATCCTTTTACCTTGTGGGAAAAAGACAACTGGCCCTAGCAATGATACCTGTGGTACTCCACAGGTAACCCTGGTGTCATGATCACAACTGCGGTAGCTGATCTAATTACTCACTTCATTCACCTGCTGTTCCCTCCCTGCGCTCTACTTATTATTCATCTTATCCACCTGTTCGGCCTGCTTTATATACGGTTCAGCCCAGCTATCAGGGCCAGATCATTATCCTTAGTTATTCATTTGTATTCGTGTTAATTGTTCATGTTTGTTTGTTTTTTAGTTTAGTTAAGTCAGTGGTTCATGTCCTGACTCTTGCAGACCAGTGTGTATAGAGGGTGTTAGTGCTTGTCTCCTGTCTCTTGATCATGTCCCCATTCTTGTCCGCTGAGACCTCGGGGTTTTGGCTCGGCATGCGGGGGGAGCTTGGGTTCTGGCATTTCTCTGCGGAGGCCTCTGGTTTTCGTTAGGAGTGTGGGGGAGGCCAGTTTTAATTTCCATAATCCTGGCTTCTAGAAGGAATACAGTTTAAAGTTTCTGCAGTTATCCTGTTACCATGTCTTGTCTCTGTTCCTCTCAAACACTGGGCCTGCCAGTCCCCATCTGAGCGTCTTTGTCTGAGCTCACTGCTGGACTCATTGAAACTCTGAA